TGCATGCAAATCCCCTAACCGAGCACACACAGGTAGAAAGATAGCAATGGTAACAGAAGTGGGTTTAGCCTTCCCATCTACACGCATTTCATGAAACAACCTCATTACCTCAGCATCATAATTTCGAGATGCAGAAAACCCAGATAAGACAATGTTCCAAATGACAGGATCCGAGTAACCCATTTGACCAAAAAGTGTTTTGCAGTCACCCAATGCAGCACATTTGGCATACATGTTAAGCAGTGCTTTAGAGATAGAGTGGCAGGAAAGATGGCCTTGTTTGACAACATAACCATGAAGAGCTTTCCCAAAGTTGATGGCTAAGAGGGCAGCACAGGATTTGAGAATGGCTGATAATACTTGGTAATTGGGTTTAAACCCAGACGAACTTTGACAACTTTGAAGGAGAAGAGACAACGTTTCATTACGTCTGACATGTATGCTGTAGCTCCTGATTATGTTGTGAAATCTGGTTGAAGCATATCCACAAACAGCTCTCGTGCATCTTTGATTTATGTCGGAAACGTTAAAAAATTTCAGCATTCTAGTCTAAACGAGTGAAACTAACTTCAAGCTTTACGATTTTCCATTCAAAATAGTCTTCAGATAAAAAAAACAACAAAAATGAGGTCTTTCGTTTTTAGCGGTGGCCTCGGTTGGTTTGGCTGGCGGTCAGCTGTGCCAGTGACGAGTGCTATTTGTCTTTTTCGGAAAATAGCCCAAACTACACTTCGTTGATCAAAAGGAAAAGGGAAGGGGAAATTATCAAAAACTCCCTAAAATACGAATTACTCCTAAATCGGTCTTTCATATTTTCAAAAAGGTAGACAAATAATAACCAAAACACTCTCCTTGCCGACAACCAACCGGAAGGAAGCTAAGGGGGAGGTGTCCACTTCCCCTCCTCCCCTCCGCCCATCTTCCCCTTCCCTCCTCATCTCCCCCTTTTTTTCTCCCATATTTTCCCTTCCTCTTATCCCTTCTTCTCCTCCCCTTCCCTTCCCCAGATAGTCTAGATCTGTTTGGATCTAGGCCTGTTTGTCTATTTGTTTTGTTTGATTGTTTTTGCAGGGTTCTAGATGTCTGGTATTGTCTTTGTCTCGATGGCGATCTCTCATCGAGAGAGTTGTGATACTTGGTGGCTGATGTTTTGTCTCTGTTTCAATGGTGGCGGCAGCAACAACGCTGGTGGTAGTTGTTGGGATGTGGTGCTCTTCTTTACTCTGCGGCGACCAAAGAACTATGTTTGGTCATAGGAGGTTTTCTTTGTCCGGTTCTGAGTTGAAATGGAGTGCTTCTCAGGAGTCCTTTTATTGTTTTTTGTGTGGTGACGCTGGATTGTGTCTCTCCTTGGGAGAGTTGTGATATCTGGTAGCTAATGTTTGTCTCTGTTTCAGCAATGCCGGCGGCAGCAACAACGCTGGTGGTAGTTGTTAGGATGTAGTGCTCTTCTCTACTACGTGTTGACCAAAGAACTATGCTTGGTCGTAGGAGGTTTTCTTTGTTCGATTCTGAGTTGAAGTGGAGTGTTTCTCAGGGGTCCTTTTACTGTGTTTATGTATTCCTCCTGCATGTTCTCTCCTAGTTTCTGTTATAGTATGCCTTGCAGTTTGTGTAGGTGTCAAAGGACTATGATTTTGCTCATAGAATGCTTATTTTGACAGTTGGCATGTTTCTCGTTGGAGGTCTATATGTTAGTTTTCGTTTTTTATTTGTTCTTTTATTGTTATGGTCTGAAGTGACCTGAATAGGACTCTCTTGTGTGGTACTCTTTCCTCCCATGGAGTTTGCCCGATGAGGTTGTACTAGGAAGATTTTAACGAGGTCACTATATCATGTCGTTTTTTGTACGTCTTTAATTCTATGAATGAATTCTTTTTCTCAAATTTTTTTTTTTTTGTAAAAGATAAAAATGGGCACACACACATACCAAATTAAAAGGGACATGCATGTAGGTTCTGTTTGATAGTGTGTAATTTCACTCCACTAAAGACAAGGCAATTTTGGAACACTTCCGTATTTCCTTGTTTGTTAGCCTGCATGTGAAATCTTATCGTTTGTAATTTCTTGTTCGTTTGTGTATATGTGTTGTGTAAGAGGTTTGCATGTAGTGTGTAAGACGAAGTAGTATCAATTGTGTATGTAAGGGACAAAACCCCTGAAGTGAGAGGCCTGTTTGAGAACAAAACTTCTCGGTGCTATCTCCCTTCAGCCATTAATAAAATTATCATTTGCTTTCAAAATTCTATGCCTTCCCAACCATAAAAAAAAAGGCTAAACCTAAATTTCCCTCACTAAAATATAACTATTCATATATTGTCTAGACTCAAACAGTTTTTTCCTCCAACTCGTTAGTTTTATTAAATTGTTTTGCTAACTCCTAAATTTTTTTATTGCTGTTAATTTTTCTTGACATTATATTTTTGGGTTAACGACATTGTAGACCCTAAAAGTTTGGGATCATTTCAGCCACGTTGTTTTAATTTCATCAATTACGCCTCAACATTATGAAAATTGACCAGTTTACATCCTCAGTCAAAATGTCAAACGATAACTGATGACCTGTCTATTGTGGGACCTACACTCACAAACTTACTGACTAATCCTTAAAAAGAATTAATTATATAAATATATATT